TCCAACCTTAAATTGTCCAATGTTCAGAAGTTCCACTACTTAGGGCCTCGTTTGAAGGCAAAGCAACGGAAGTTATCAATTCAGTGGAGTTTTCTAACAGTGGTTACCTGGTGGCATGGGACGCTTTAATGAGCAGATTCAATAATTCCAAGCTATTAATACATAACCACCTTCGAGCTATTTTTTCGTTAGAAATGATAAACAACGAGTCATCTTCTAAAATCAGAAGTTTAATTGAGCAATTTTGTAAGCATTTAAGCACACCTTGTTAATTTTCTTGATCAGTTTTAAGTTCGATTCAAAGACAGCTATAGAATGAGAGAAATTTTCGATGCCAAGCACATCTCCAACGCTTTCTAAAATTACTAAATTTTTACTTAACTAAAAGAGAAAGCTAACATCTTAGAAACTATAGAACAGAAGGGGTCTTGCTGGGATTCCAAAAGCAAGCAAAATAAAAATTATTGTTTCAAAGGAAACAGACAGGCAAGTTGCGTGGGTAGTAAAGTTTCATGTTATTTTTGCAACAACGAACATTCTATTTATTACTGTGAGAAATTTATTAAATTGTCACAGGAAAGTAAGTTTAAATTTATCCGATCTGAAAAATTGTGCAAAAACTGTCTACGAAATAATCATTTTGGTAAACGATGCAATATGGGACCGTGTCGCAAATGTATGGCAGATCATAACACTTTATTACATTTAGATAAAACCAATTCAGGTGACAAAATGGTGGCATGCGAAACTAGCACGCAAGTAAGCCAGGAGAACGACCACAATCTGCTGTCAAGTGTACTTTGGATGCATGCTGTTCATTTTTTGTATTTTTGTCTACTGCAAGAATTAAAGTTTTTAGTCAAAATAATCAAGTTCACTATGCGCGTGCGTTACTAGACAGCGGGTCGCAGTCGTCATTTGTCTCCTAAAGCGTTTGTAATTGTTTAGGTCTCACTAAACATCAGAAAAATTTGTCAGTTCTTGGTTTAACTGAGCGAGTGTCAAGTATCAAAAGTAAGTGTTTAAGTGTTTATTAAAAATTGATTCTCTACACATTGAATTTAAAACTGAGTTAACATGTTTTGTACTCCCAGAAGTGACTAGCATTTCGGTTGCAAATATTGTCGATGCGCGGAAATTAAACATTCCTAAAACTATCAAGCTAGCAGATCCAGATTTCTATCTTCAGGGCCTATAGACATTTTAATCGGATCAGATTTGTTTTGGGTATTATTGCGACAAAATCACATGACATTAGGAAAAGGTTTACCGTTCTTACAAGAAACAGTACTAGGCTGGGTTTTAGCAGGAGCGATGGATTTAAGATTAACCTCACATACCGCACGTTGCAATATTCGATGTAATACCGCAAATCTGGAATTACAGAACGTGCTTTCCAAATGTTGGGAAGTGGAGGAAATTGGCAATCCTAAGGCCTTACCTCAAGATGAAATTCAGTGTGAAACAAGTTTTGCATAGACAACTCGTCGAGCTGAAAACGGACGTTTTATTGTAACTTTACCTTTGAAGCAATCCCCTGAAATGCTTGGTGAATCAAGGAGCATTGCAAAAAAAAACGATTTTATTCGACGGAACGAAAGCTAAATAGAAACGAGTTACTGAAAGGTTACTATCACAATTTTTTGAAAGAATATGAAGCTTTGGATCACATGACTTTAGTTCCTAATGAAAACGTCAACGATTCAACAAAGGTGCAGTATTACATGCCGCATCACGGGCTATTTCGCAAATAAGTTTGACCACCAAGCTACGTGTAGTCTTTGACGCCTCAGCGCCTTCTAGTAATGGGCTTTCATTAAATAACATTGATAGGCCTGTGTTGCAAGAAGATTTATTTTCGATTCTTGTTCGTTTTAGAACACACGCCTTTGTTGTTTCGGCGGACATTATGAAGATGTAGCGTCAAATACTTGTAGAGCCAAGTCAAAGAAGTTTGCAGAGAATACTTTGCAGATCAAATTCTGGCGATGATTTAAAAACTTACGAGTTGACACTGTGACTTATGGCCATGCAAGTGCTAGTCATCTAGCGATACGATGCTTATTTCAGTTAGCCAACGAATCTGAAAATCTGCTGACTGGAGCTGATTCTATAGAGCAAATACAGCAAATTTGTAAGCAAGTATCAAGCGAGTTAAAAAAAAGGATGTTTTGAGCTCAGGAAGTGGCACTCCAATAAACCAGAAATGCTACAGAACCTTGACGATTCAGATATATCTCAAGGAATACTCAAATTTGGACCAGAAGAAAACTCTAAAGTTCTTGGTGTGACGTGGTCATGGAGCGATGACAAATTAGTTTATGACATAGATATTTTATTTGCCCAAAGAAAATTCACGCCTTCTTTTATTGCCAGTATATTTGATCCTTAGTCCGTGCACAAGCAAAGCAAAAATGCAGAAGTTATGGGCCAATAAGCTATCTTGGAATGATGTACTGCCACTGTCGCTAGCAAAAGATTGGGACGAGTTTTACAATGAGCTTCCATTAATAAATTCTTTAAAAATCAATCGTCGCGTAATATTTAAAAATTCCACTTTCGTTGAATTACACGGTTTCGCTGATTCATCAGAAAAGGCATATGGGGCATGCGTATATCTTCGTTCAACGGATCATCATGGAAATGCGAAGGTTAATTTACTATGCGCGAAGTCAAGGGTAGCCCCTATTAAACCATTAACCATTCCTAAGTTGGAGCTCTGCGCGGCATTGCTATTGGCTAAGCTAGTAAAGAAAGCAGTTGATGCACTTAAGTGCGAATTTGAGCAATGCACACTTTGGAGTGATCCAACAATCGTCTTGGCTCGGCTGCGAACCAATCCTAGCAGCCTTAAAGTGTTCGTAAGCAATCGGGTCGCCGACATTCATGTACTGATAGAGCCAAGACAATCCTGCCGAATTAGTATCAAAGGGATTATCTCCTAAAGGTGCGTATAGATATGCCAGCCGAGCGGTTCGCGAACCGCTTGTGAATCTCTAGTTCCCATAGTTTAGACGTGGCTACGAGCGACGAACAAACCGCTTGTAAACCGCTCGCGACGATCCGATTCCTGTCGGTTTTTCTGACGAACACAAAGGCGTTCTCAGTTCACAGTTTGACGGCGACGTGTCTGGTTCGTCGTTTTTAATCTGCTTGCGAACCTACCGCTCAGATTAATTTTGTTTGATTTTTTTAAATTCAATAATAATAATTATGGATCAGTGGCCTGAAGAAAATATACTTACCGTGATTAATATATACAAAAGCAAAATGTTACTCTGGGATCCCAAACATAAGGACCATTTTAAAAGGCTAAAAAAAGGTTAAAAGAAGATGCTTGGGGAGAAACAGGTCTTCAAATAAACAGAAATGCAGACCAATGTAAGAAAAAGGTGATCTGTTTGCTAGCTTCTTACCGGCTCCGGCACTCGACGATTAACGAAAGAATTGCAAAATATTTCGAGGTTCGTTGTTTTCCCATGGATCGCTGGACGTTCGTTGTAATGATTAACTTCAACAAACTGCTCATAAGCTGTTCACAAGCGGTTCGCAAACCGCTCGGCTTGCAGATCTGTACGCACCTTAATAAATGGTTAATATTCGACAATGTGGTGACAGGGACCATCTTGGCTATGCTTTGATAAAGCTGCATGGCCGCTTACACCTTCAACGGCAACCGAGGATGTGACGGAATTGCGGCCACAAAATGTCTCGGTTTTAGTAAGTAGTGAAGTTTCACTTATAACAAATAGTTTTCCATTTGACCGTTTCTCTTCATTTTTGCGACAACAACATGTGACTGGATATGTTCTAAGGTTTGCGCAAAATTGTCCTAGAGGGCCAGAAGAAAGAAAATTTGATGCGCTTACACTACCCGAATTGGTCGTGCGCAAATTTGTCTTTTAAGGGCTGCTCAAGCTCAGAGTTTTTCGGACAAAATTGTTCAATTTCGAATGGGCATACATCTAATACCCGCAAATTAGGTAGCTTAACTCCTTTTCTAGATAAAGACGGATTGTTACGTGTAGGTGGCCGTCAAAAACACTCAGATTTGCCCTCTGATAAAAAAAACATCCAGTAATACTGACATCAAATCATAGTTTTACTAAATTGATATTTGAGTATGAACATAAGATGCTACTTCATCCAGGTCCCCAACTCTTATTATCCAGCAATCTGTAACTCGAAGGTGTTTGCGTTGTTTTCGCTTTAAACCAGCATTTGTAGAACCTATCATGGGCAATCTGCGCCGAGAGCGATCGTTACTTTCATTAATTAACCTTCAAGTCCTTTTCAAGTGGTCGGGGTGGATTATGCCGGTCCATTTTTAATTGGCAGAAACCGAGGTCAAGTTTTAGAAAAATGCTACGTAAGCGTATTTGTATGTTTTGCTACGAAATTCATTCATCTAGAGCTTATAACGGAGTTGACTTCTAATTCCTTTGTACTAGCTTTGCATCGTTTTATATCTAGACGGGTCAGGCCCGCTAAAATATATTCCGATAATGGGACAACGTTCGTGGGGGCTAATCGTGAACTATGCAAGTTTTTAAAAGGAAATCAAAATCAGTTAATCGAATCTTGCATTAACGAAAAAATTGAATGGTCTTTCATTCCTCTTTATTCCCCGCACTTTGGTGGACTATGGGAGGCTGGCTTCAAGAGCGTTAAGCACCATTTAAAACGAGTTTTATCTAAGATTCATCTTATGTTCGAAGAACTAGTAACAATATTATGTCAAATAGAGTCTTGTTGACTAGATATTGCCTTCTTTTGTGAATGAGCAGAGCCACGCGGTCAATATGCGATGTTATTTCCGAGTTGTTAAATATTCGAATAATACGTAGCCTGACTAGGATGGTACTCGTTTCACCGTTTAGCCTCGTCTCAGTGATTCGAAGCACGTCGAATTTGATATTACTCAGTTCGCGTTCTAAACAAGCTATCGTAACTCAAATGTGGAATAATAATAAACTGGAATGTGAAATAAAGTTACTTACTGTTGTGAGTGATAATGTCTCCGTTGTCATTAGTCCAATAGTTTATCGACTTTGGAAATGCTTCGGTATGACACTCGAGGGTAATCTGCTGGCCTTCGTATGCTCCTACCAACTGATTCTTTATCCAAACCATTGGAGGAACTGTAATAAATGTTTTTGTAAATAGACGTCGCTAGAAATGACCGCATTGGCCATCATGTGTACAGGGAATTTACGTAGATCGTGCATTAGAAGTTTCCTATCTTGCAATTGTTTTAGAAACTTCAAATTTTGTTACTGATATTAGCGAGTCGTGCCGAAACCACGAAAAATACATTTAGCCCTCCAGCTGTAGGGTGTCTCAAAAGAATATTCTAATTTTCTTGTTTTAATTGTAAATTCTTAATTTTTTTAGTATGGTTGGATTGGTCTTCTGGAAACTGGTAAATGCCGGTTCAACCAAAATTCACAGCAAGTTTCACTAAAATACATCGAACCATTGTCCAGATGTTTCAAAAAAGATAATTTTTTATTCTTCTCTCAGAACATTAAGGACAAAAATTAGAACAAGATACGTGTTAAGATTACTATAAAAATTAAGAAGACACATAGATCTGTTCTTGGAAGTGGAAGGTGAACTATTCGAGCAGCTCTTATAATTTTCTTAATTTACCGGTTTCTCAAAGTTTAGTTTCATCCTATGTTACATTTATAATACAGTTTATTTCTTTTTTATTCTTCTCAAACAGATACATAAACTGTCTAAAATCTGTTCATTAAACAAAAGAGTGGGTGTTTTTAAAGCACTCTTTGCAAAAACCTATTTTTTGTTATTTTTATCAAACCGCAAGACTGAACCTTAACATGTGATACGATATCGTAATAAAAAAAAGCTGAATTCAAACATCAAAAAATTCAAGATGGCGCCCATAAGAAAAAACAAAGTTGATGATGGTTGTCAAGAATCCATAAGTCACATTTTAAATACAGCATCGCCACGTTGTAGAAGAGAAAAAGTTGAAATGATGAAGAATTATTTATTTTAAATTTCCGCGTCAAATAAACTAAGGTAAAAAAAAACTTTTTTGTCAAATTTTGGTTTTTTCCCAATATCTCCGAGAGTAGCAGAAATGCTTAAAATTTTCAATGAGCATTTTAGTAAGCTCTAGACTGCGCAACTTTGTCCCAATTTAACCAATCTCGTATCTAGTATGGTTAGCAAGATCCCCATGATTGAGCTCCAAAAACAGACACCCTGTATATTGTTCAGTTGTTCGTAGTATTTTTGGCCGCCTATTAAAGTACTTAAGCTAATTTTGGCAACAGGTTGAGAAGTTAAGACGGGTGGGTTTTTCGGACACAACAATTATCGTTTCAATACACCTTTTTTCAAATAATTTAAATATTTAAAAAAATAAAAGTATTAATGATAGTTGTTTAAGAACCGCCAAAGTAAACTAGCTTAAACTAGGTATGGCCATACAGGAATTTGAAATACCTTTCCAACAAGGTTAAACTTGCATGGGTATCCAGTTGAATTGAAGTAGTCATATTGATTTGCAGGGCCAAAGTTTACCCCAGTTGTCTACTATCGGTGTCCTATTGTTACTTCATTTACAATAATAATGTTCTACGAACTTGAAATTTGCTAATTTGAAGATCTAAGCTGAACACGCCATTTTTCTAGGGACTACGTTTTAAAGCTCAAGACCTTAGTTCTACAAAAACAGCTGATAATGTATAAAATGGCATCACTTCAGTCTTGTCTTAAATATGTCTTAAAAAATAAGACTCCGCATCATCAGTTTCCTCATACCATTTTTAGCGCTAATAAAATACGACATTTGTTTGGAAATGTTGGCTTGTTTATGCCTGTTCTAAACTTTTCTAGCTAACGATGCTTGCAAAATTTTCCTCACTTTGTTGGAATGATACATGGGAAATATGCGGTCTCTAAATGTAACAAGTTCAACTAACTTTCTTAAAAATTCAAAACATCAGTAAGAAGCTAGATGCCAACAGTTTCTATGCTGGCGTTCAGAGTGGCAATACCTTAAATGCAGTCGACGTTTTAATAATGGCTACGATATTTGCTCTCTTGTGCGCTCTATCTCTTGGATCATCCTGTATCCCGAGTGGACTTTCAGAGCACTCAGTTGAATTACCCTACACACATTTTGCAGGCATAAGTTTATTATCCTTCGGTTAAAGTTGAAAATTGGACTTTTATGTACTGAGGAATCAAGACATTAAAGACCAAGTTATAATCGCGTGCTATTTGATTTATAACAAGAAGAAGTTGGTGTGTGCACACTGGATGAAATTCAATGAAACAAGTTTATGTAAAAAAGTGTGTATGTATGTATACCCAAGGATGTAAGGGCCAAGCGCTTTCGACAATTACTTCACCATCAGGGCCACTAAAAAATATTAAACAAAGCAACCTGGAGGATATCACGCAGACAAAAGAAAGTTAACAGGAAACAAATCTTACTCGTCAAATTAAAAGTGAACATCCTCAAGAGCACCGAACCGAACATGTAAAACAATAGTCAGAAATGGTCTAATGGGCTAAAATTGTAAATGACAAACTTACTAGAAACAGACTCAAGTTAAAATTAGAATAAATTAGAATTAAATTTAATTAAAGGTACTTTAGATAATTTAAATTAAGACGCATATAAATTTGTTTGATTGAGTTGTATTTGATTTACAATCCAACTACTATAGAATCAGTGGCTATAAAATATTGGTAATTGGAAACGCAGGAACTTTGATCTCATAAATACAATAATGAGCATATATAAGACTACTCAAGCAAAGCACGCATAGGAAACCCGTCAATAAAATCACACCAAAATATTTACTTCCATGTTATAGAGGGTGATTCAAAATTGGCGTCATTCCTCTGGAGGTGTTGTCTGGCGCTGTTATAGAGTACAGAAAAAATAGTAAAAGAAATTAATTGTTATTAAAAACTGAGAAATTTGCAAAAAACTATATCAGAGATACGGCAGCAATGTTTTTCAAGGTAATCTGCCTAATTAACATTGCGCAAATACCTGTTCGTAATTATTTAAAACTCCGGTAACCATGGAATTATACAGTGACAATAAGATAGACAAGGATAAACGGTAAATTCATCAAGATTTGACTGTGGATCGTACTTTCGAAATGTCAACCTGTTCTCATAACCTCGAATATTGGCGTTTAGAAATAAACCATGCAACACCAAACATTTGAATGGTTAACTCCAAACAAGCTAATGCCTGTGTAATCTCCTTATTATCCACTCTTCATCCTTATTATCCATCAAGCAGCTTTTCGTAATTCAGTTAATTAACTCCTGCTCTATTTGTATTTCCGTGTGCTGTATGTATCGTACAAACGCGGTAGGAATGTTGGGAAAGTGTCAGGTATTGTGCTCTGAGTGCCTCTGGAAGGCACCTGCTGCAATTATGTCCAATACTTGTTCTTCTGTGCCTGGAACCCGGACATCAATTGTCGTCCACTATTTTCCTGGAACCACTCTCCTCGCCCTTTGTTGGTGTGAGATCTTTCAGGTTCTGCTATGTTACTGTAGCATTTCCCCTGAACTAATCACAGATCCGCAAATTCGTGAAAGGAAATTCAAAGTAAGTCACAGTTTGACAAATTATTGTTATTATTGACAAGGGTTATCCACCTGTAACTATCTGTTAATGACAGAAAACATCATTGCCGCTGTGCCTTTTCATCAAAAAATTGTAGAAGAGAACTTTTTGATATCAAAATTTTTCGTAATTTGATGCAAAGATCGTAATTTATCTTTTTGAATGCTCAAGTATTCCAATATACTACCAATTAAACATGGAACAATTTCAAAATCTTCAACTGTTAATATCTTCTAGAAATTTTCGAAAAACAAAATGTCAATATTTTTTTTCTTACTCCCCAAGGGAGCCTCTATCACCTCTTAAAAGGAATGACGCCAATTTTGAATCACCCTGTATTTTCACATTAAACAAAATATCAGAATAATGAATGTGGGGACATGTACAGTTGACGACACATTATACTAGACGACTACTAAGAGCGATTTTCCAAGTTTTGGTAAACCAGGCATTGTGAAAAACATCAAATGTACGTGTGTCACTAACTTGGTTTCAATTGACAATTTAATTAATTTCTTTACAATTTTAAAAATTGTGCACTTCGGTTTATCAAATCTCAGCTGCTGCTGAGACATTGTTCGTTAACCACCGCTCCTTTTATTAATGTAGTTATTTAAGTTTTTTAAATCTTTTGAATATGCCATTTTGATAACAGGAAATTGTATTTGTCAGTATTATGTCGTTGACGCAAAGATAGACCGAGTTAGAAAGTCAGATTTACAGAACTCTTTAATCTTGTACTTTTATGTGTCGGCGACTGTACTTAACTTGCGTTCTCCTGAGACTTTCAGCAATTTACTTCTATAAAATTAAAACAAATTATATCATTTGTTTATAAATAATAACCAAATAAAACTTTTAAACTTGTTTTCCAATGGCTACATAAAGTACCTCTTTGCAGTAGAGTTTTATGTCGGAAATTTATACAATGCTTTTATACATATTTTATATTGAGTAATGCATTTTATAACAGCAGATACAGCAGAGTAACTTGGCAGTATTTAATTGTATTTATTATACAGGATGGTCCTCAACTAATGTGACAACATTACTTTGCAAATAAATTTGTCTTATTTGTAAGTTAATAGACTCCGAAATACACCTTTTCAAAGTGTAAATAGAATTTCCGTTTTTTTTTAATGGATGTTTATCCAGTTTTATTGTGATCATAAAATTTGTTATTTGAGAGTTTTTTAGAAGGGCAAATTTAAACTTTCTATTACCCAGATTGTAGATTCTAGAGGGCGCTGGCTGCAATAGTCCGGAGCCAGCTAATACGTCAGACATTATTTAGGTTTTAAATAAGTTAAAACACTTTCTTGGAAAGGGAGTCTTTAAAACAATTTTTATTTCGATTGATATGGATTTCAGCTTCAAGATACAACTGTTCGTTATTACAGGCTTGTGAGAATATATACTGAATTAATGCTGATGAGTTTACATGCTATCTCTGAAACTAAAGAACATTATGTTCCTTATGCTTAGCTGCAAAATAGAATATTGTACCGT